CCCCTGCCCTTCCCTCGCCCCCGAGCGTTGTAGAGGCCCGGGCCCGGCTGCGGCGGTGAGCCCCTGGAGACAGCGCTTCAGGGAGGGCGCGGAGCGGTTTCTTCCGGCTCTGCGACCCAAGCGGCTTCTTTTGCTCCTGTTTCAGTGAGGAAACCTCTTAAAATTGTGTAAAGGAGGCCCCGGCAGCACTCTGCTTGAGGAGCTGTAAGGAATGCCTGTCAGAAAGTGAGAGCTTGCTGGGGTTGTGAAGCAGCATCGTCTGTTACGGCTTTTTCCCAGCACCCGCGGAGGGTTGTGTAACCCAATAAATTACAAATGAGAAGCAAAGTGAGATGACTGCGTTTGTTTTATAATGTATGACTAAAGATTAGCATGGCCTGTCAGATTGCTGAAGTATAGTGGTGTTGGGAAACATCCCTCGTGGTCTGTGCTGCCCTGGGTTTTGCCTGCCTTGTCTTGGTTGTGCACAGAGTGGTTAATCCTGGGAATCTGAATCTGGGCAGACACATGCTTAAAATCAACAGCAAACTCTCTTTCTGCTCTCCCCACCCTATGGCCTCAGCAGAGGTTGGGGGGGGAGTACTGGGTTTAAAAGGCTATTTTGGTTTTGATTTAAAGATGATTAAAATACAGTTGTGTTTTTCTTTCGTTTCAGAATTATGTATAGAGGGGTAAACTGTCTGGATTTAACTTCTTTTTTTTGTGGCTGTGAGTAGGAGTTTCCAGCAGATTAAACAGATGTTTAGAAAACCAGGTATTTGGTCCCAATGGAAAGTGAATATTTGCAGTGCCATTTGAAGAACGCATCTGTTAGCCAAGATATTTTGATTATTAGATGTTGAAACTGAATGTCAGTGACTGTGACTTCATGACAAAAATAGGGGTGGAAGGAAGGTAAATATTTGTATTTTTAGTAGAAAATGGAAGCTTCTGGTCTCTTCCTTCCACAGCTGCCTGCAGGGAGCCTGCAGCTCACTCTCTACCAGTATAAAACATGTCCTTTCTGCAGCAAAGTCCGAGCTTTTCTTGATTATCATGGACTGCCCTATGAAATTGTGGAAGTGAACCCGATAATGAGGAAAGAGATCAAATTCTCTTCCTACAGGAAGGTGCCTATCCTGCTAGCCAATGCTGGAAGGCCTCTGGTAAGTCTTACTATGTTGAAAGCTTGATTTCTTCACAAGCAGCGGTTTGGAGGCTTTGTCTGTCATGTCTGTCATTTATCATGTGCAGTGTAATCTTTAGATCATCTTTTATTCTCTCAAGAGCCTAGGATTACAAGGCATGTTGTTTGTGTAGTGACTCTAACGCAGTGATTTTGTAGCTTCTATCAGCCCTTACGCAGGATGTGTCATTTGTAGCAGCAGTAACAGGAACTGATTATATCTTGTGGGAAAAGAATGAGATCTCAAGAATACTGAAGATGAACTTGGCTTTTTTTTTTCCATGTTAGTGTTGCTTTTCCTCCTTCGCTGCCAAAAGCCTAAATCCAAAAGCCGCTAGTATTGCATGTGTACCCAGCCCTCAGGTGCTCTGTTGTCAGAATGAAAGACAAATTTGAAGGGATACTCTGAAACAGTCACAGAAGAATCTGAATGTAGGGCTGTCTTTGGATGTGCAGGGACTCCTGTGGAAATGCACGGGGGAAAGGGACTGCGGTACTAACTTGGAGCCTCAGCATGCGGGGGAAAAGGTTTTGAAGAATTTCCTTTTCAATTTCATCCACTTCTTTTAAAAGAAGTTTGTTTTATTTCTGTTTTTCAGCAATTGAATGACTCTTCAGTGATCATCAGTGCAATAAAGACCTATCTCATTTCCAAGTAAGAAAACAGGATGGTGGGAGCAGAGTTGAATGTGAATGGCCTTAGTGAACTAGAGGTTGAGAAGACACTCTGAGTCGGTCATAAGTATCTTGCTGACCTTGGGTCTCTGAAGCTCTGGGTGTTTGACCCAGCAGACCTGACCCTGGCTGTGATGGTGTGGATGATGCCTATATATGTTGTGGTGTATGTGCGGTAAAGCAAAGCTTTTACCTTTCAGGACTACTGTTTTTTCCATCTGTGAGATTTCTCTTAGCACAAAACCCACTGAAACGTGGACTAGCATTAGTCCTGGAACTAAGCTTACAATTAGCCCGTTACAACATCTCGAATGAAATGAAATTGCTGTGCCTATGGCCTGTCCTTTAGGTCCATGCTACAAAGCACTTGAGAACTATAGGTAGTGCAAATGCCTGCAAAAATGTCTGTTCTGACACAGGGAAAGGTATGTGCACTAATAATAGTTATTTGCAAGTAGCTGTTCCAGTCTTTTTGAAACATATTTCAAATAGAATTTGGAACCTTGTGCACTTACTTTTAGAATAATACATTTTCAAGTGTGTATCTTTCAATCTGTCCTTTGCTCTTGCTTATTTTTGTAGCAGCCAAATTGGGTGCTAACTGTGTTTCTCTCCACAGGAGGAATAGCTTAGAAGAGATTGTGTCCTTTTATCCTCCTATGAAAACTGTAACTGAGCAAGGCAAGGAGGTATTTGAGTATGGGAATAAATACTGGCTCATGCTGGATGAGAAGGAGACAAAGCGAGTCTATCCTGTCAAAGAAGTGAGAGTGTGAGTACTCTTAAGTTTCTGGGCTCTCCAGGTAGGGTCACAGCCTCCTCCAAATGTACTCAGGGATGGTGTAGATACAAAACCCGCTGGTGCTGACAAATCCTGTCATGCCCCCATTAGGGTTTAAAACTTCAGCAGTTAGAGTGGTTTTGCTGTGTTTCGTACATAATTTGAAACAATGCTGTTAGATGGCCTCGTTACCGCCATCATGGTCATGCTAGCCTTCAGCTGCCTCCAGTTTCCTTCTTGGCCTTTCCTTTATGTCACAGGGGGGTGTAATGGAGGTAATGGAGGAAATGCTAGTTTCCCTTTCTGCTTATTTTCCATTATTGGGAGGAGAAGCTAATGCTCTATCTTAGTCTTAATTTTAGTTTGAGATTGGAGGAGCCTTGCCAAAGATGATGATCCTGAGTGCATTTCAGAGAGGTCACCAGAGTACAAGGCTGGGCAGGAGTTTTTGACACATTTGTCCTTGGCAGAACCTCTGGCTAATGCCACTGTGATTTGGCCTGCTTCCTGTAGCCCTGCAATCTGTACCTCATTCACTGAAAAGTTTATTTCTTTTGAATGCTTGCAGGGAAGAAATGAAGTGGAGAAAATGGGCAGATGATTGGCTTGTTCACCTCATCTCCCCCAATGTTTACCGTACCCCCAGAGAAGCCTTGGCGTCTTTTGATTACATTGTCCGTGAGGGGAAGTTTGGCACCATGGAAGGTTTCTTTGCCAAGTACATGGGGGCTGTTGCTATGTTCTTCATTAGCAAGAGGCTGAAGAAAAGGTTGGTACCACTGAGCACCAAGTACACAGGAGGAATAGCTCCTTAACCTCCTTAGCTGTGAACCCCAGATGTCAAAGGGCAGAACCTCAGAGTTTTAAACTAAACCACTGAATCCAATGAGTAACAGCCGTACTTCTTTAACTGGAGGTACTGAAACCCTCTACTCATCTACTATTTAATCACTAACTTCCCCCTTCACTCTCATATACCTTCCTAATTCCCAGACAAAGACCAGCCCATAAGATGAGAGATGATAAAAGGTTAAAGAAAGAAACCAACTACTGTCTTCAAAGTAGTTCTTCTCTTTATCCAGACATCACCTTCAAGATAATGTCCGAGAAGACTTGTATGAAGCAGTTAATGAGTGGGTAAAAGCTGTTGGCAAACATCGACTGTTCATGGGTGGAAACCAGCCGAACCTTGCTGACTTGGTAAGGAGTTAATTCCTGCATTTCTTGCTAGGTGTATTACAGATTATCCAGTTGTTCATCTGTGTGAAATGGTTAATACAAACATAGGCAGAGAAAGTAAGTTACATGAGATACATTGTCGATGGCCTTTGTGCAGTAATACACTTACATTACATAGGACTGTATTTGTTGTTCTCCTCCAGAGAAATGTTTCCTAAGATGGAACCTGCAGTTCCCATCTGCAGGTGGATGTTACTGATCATGTGGAAGCACGATAAAAGCAAGTTAGAAGCCAGGACACTGGCTCGAGAATGCTGGTGATGAAAGCCTCATATCTGCACAGATTTTATTACATTCAGTGCTGCTGGGGTTTCCTTTGCGGGCAGGAGTGCAGAGTGGAGCAGGATTCACCTCCTGCACCAGCAGTTCTCCTTGGAACGGAAATGAAGCATTTCACACCAGGGCTTGATGCAGAGATGGGATTAACTTTTGCCCCATAACTGCCATGTTGATCCTGATCTTTTCTTACTGTCTGCTCATGAAAAAACATGCATATTCTTTCCTAACTTTCCACCATTCAGTCTTCCTTGCTGATCAGAGTGGTGGAGTAGATGACAGGACAGGGAAAAAGCCTTACTGGCTAGGCGATTGAGACGCTTACTGCTACCCTAAGCCATTCTCCACTGCTGACTCTTTCAGTGTTGTTCTAATCTTTATGCTCTGGCACAGGCAGTGTACGGGGTCCTCCGAGTCATGGAAGGGCTGGAAGCCTTTGACGACATGATGGTTCACACCAAGATTCAGCCTTGGTACCAGCGCATGGAAGAAGTAATTCAAAAAGCTGAAGCTGCAGTCTGATGCCAGCTGCAGCTGCCTTCCTGAAGTACTTGCATGGTAAAAAAACTTCAGAAGGAATGGAATTTATTTTTAAAGAGATGAATGGACTGGTCACACCTCGTGGACTGACATGCAGGCACAGAGACTGTCCTGTTTAGAATACCAAGTTGTAGTGAGCAGAAGGGGTCCAGCTGGGTGAATGTTTGAATGTGGTATTTAGAAGGATGGGGACAGGTAAAAGGATCTTGGATGCTGCTGGAAAGGAGAAACTCTGAATGGAAAAATGCAGCAAATAGGCTTCTTTTAGGTGAGAGCCATTCTTGGAGCAGGTTACTGTAAAAGCAAGGTGCTCTTGGCTAATAAGTGTTACAGCCATACCAGGTATGGTGGGTCTGAGCAGCTTTTGCTTCAGGCTGTCTTCCGCTACTCATCCATGTCATCTGAAGTGTTTTCCTGACTGAGACACTGGATACTAGTTTTCAAGTGACAATTTTTCCTGCAATAGGATCCTGTAAGCCCAGCACTGAGAGAACTGGAGGAATCCACAGTACTGGGAAAGGCATCCTTCCTGTGACAGAAACAATGCTGCACTCAACAGATTGTATGCTTCTTTTGCTCTTCCATATAAACGGTTCTTTCGGTACTTGATTCTGTATGGTCTGCAAGGATAAAAGCTTGTCTTTTTCTGTGCCCTTTGTGAGATCTGTGAGTTCTTACCTTACCCATTACACCTGGAAAGCACACCCTACACAGAAGTCACTATTGCAGAGCAGCTATTTGGAAGATTTGTCTTGTGTGAAATTTCTGTGGAATACCCTTGAAAATCAATTTGGTTTTGTTTTGGAAAAAGAAGGATTAAGAGCAGTCTGCCTGTGTGGGAGATCTCTAAATGTTTCTGCCATGCAAGAGTAGCAAAGGATTGGATGTTGTAGCAATCCGATTAGGAGCAATCTCTGCAGGTAACATTGTGCAATACGAAGTCTATGGTGCTGTGCTGGGCGGAACCCCATGTTTGTCGTAGTGAGAGATGGTGCAGGTTTGAATGGGAGTCATCCTGTGTGCAGCCCAAGGCTTAAATTTCCTTAACTTGATAAAGTTCTGTTTCCCCAGAAGAAAGGGCAGGTTTCAGGGAAGCTGGTTTGTTGAGATATTTTGGGTGCAGCTGAAGTTGGTCTGTACTGCAGCTGCTTGCATTGTATGGGCTCTGTTGGGGGGCAAGGTGGGTGTGCATCTTTCTTGGGTACAACGACAAGGGTGGTGATAGAGGTTGCTTTGGTTGTTTTCCTCAAATGTGAGACTAGTTACAAATGCAGTTACGATCTGACAGACTGGTGAAAGAAAACTGTTACAGTAAAAACAGCTGGGTTGCTGGTCTGTGACTTGCTGTATTTGTTTTTTAAAGTGGTTCTGTACCGAAACTTGTGTTCCACGGTATCAAAAGAACAAAGTTTAAGCAGGTAATCTTGCTTTTAAAAAAGAGATTCAACGTACATAGACAGGAACTTGAAGAAACCCTTTATGATCCCTCCAAGCAAACCCCAGACGGAGAAGCGTCTCACGGCCTCCTGAGCCAGAACAGATGACGTGCGCATGTGAAGCACCAACAGCTCATGACGCGACTTCTCTTCGGCCGTGCT